TTTTGTTGTTAGTAGTTAGGTAAATTTTACTCTTTTGGCTTAGGTCAATAGTCCTGTGTCCAAACACCATGATCACGGTGAGTCACTTTAAAAATGTTAATGTCATTGTGCCGTCACGGTGTGCGCAGGGCCTCAACCTCGCATAAAATGATATCAGTAGGCTCCCAAATGACTAACGAACCCTATTTTGAACGGCATATTCCATTTTGATCACCTAGATTTGGTCACCCAGGTGATCAAAGTGGACTCCTGGCGACACTTTGGTGTCCCTTGATCACCCATGGATAAATGTCCACTTTAATCACCTAGGTGATCAAAGGACACCCAGTGTTTGATCACCCAAACCTTTTGAAGTAGGAAGGGCTGGTAGCGATGTCCTCTACCAGTTGGGCAGCTGACTGAGGCAAGTCAGGATTCAGACAGTCATGAGTTTGATATAAACCTAATACAACATTTGAGTGCCTGAACCACTTTTACTGTGCTGGCCAGAGACTTCAGCGTACCAATAGACTTGCTGAAAATTGCCATCACCACCTCAAAGCGAGAGGAGCAGCAAAAGGGTAATAAATTGCTACTATTAAGGATGAAATCGACAAACTAACAAACCGAGCTTTTTATTTATAGAATTTGAAGTTATTTTGGTTAGGAATATAATCCAGCGCATGCTTGTGTTTGATATGGTCTTTTTCGGTAAATAGAATACGTCTAGACATAGTGTACTTGCTGAATGCTATTCTAGTGTGGTAGGTGTAACCGCGGGAAGCGACCTGTCATCCGCTGGCCCGCAAATTATGCCGTTCTGTCTCCTATATTCCACCATCGTTATTGCCATCGTAATTGAGGTTTTGGCCAAGTAATCATAAGTTTGGAAGGAAATTCATTTGTTGTATTGTATTTTTCTAGTCATTTAATGCAAAAATGGGTTCGCTAATTTGCCTTTACTTTGGATGCTCATTTGCGAAAGCATGTTGACAGTTAGCGATGGGTTAACGTGCTCTCCAAACTACCTCTCTGGACAATGAAATAAGACACAGCCGTGCACACAATAAAAAAATATTTAAGCCTGAGTTGCACCACCTTACTTTAACAGTTAATACTTACCTATAACCATAACCGGTGTTTTTAGCCGACTTCAAAAAAGGAGGAGGTTATTTGTATGAAGTTTGACAAAATTTTGACGTTTGTCGTTAAAGTAAGATAGTGTAACCCAGCCTTACTTTTTAGTTCATCGTTCGTCTCAACACAGATTGATACGTCGCCCTAGGCTCCTTCAAAGTCATAATTATTTTACATTAAGCTTTTTAAAAGTACTTTTAATCATACCAGTATTTAACTTAAAAAAAAAACTTTAACCCTACCACTGCTACACTGGACGTTGCTCACGATACTCGTAGTTCAGCAGAGCTTTCTGTCCTAAAGCTCTACCTAAAACTAGAATTGTAATCATAAAGTGCTTTGTTCTGTAAATCGAATATTTTTGACACATATTTTCAATAAACACAGTGGTATTTATGCACTGCCGGGCACATCAACATAATGGGCGTCAGTCACGGGCCGTGCGTTGTGTGCTTGCTCGTTAACACACGACACGATTTTGGTCAACATCGCTTAATTATGTAGGGTTTTATTTTAGGAATAGTTGGTGAATAATGTTTGGTTAGAATTTTAAAACCACTAGGGAGCGAACTTAGCACTTTATGGTCGTTTTACTTTTACACAGTGATTGAGTCTATGTCTTCTAGCGGGATCTGAATATTTATTTATTTAAATAAATTTAAGTTATTCTAAAGTAATGCAAACTCCAAGATTCCCTGAAGTTTGTCTGTAGCAAGGGCAAGCTTATGAAATATAGAGAACGTATTTAGCACTAAGCCACTTGACAGGCGCTTGCTGTCAATCGTTTCCTTGCCGCCAAGTTCAAAAGCGTTGAGCTCTGTGATTGGTTCGCACTCGCTCAAGTATTGTATGAATAGGTTTTCGGGACCCTGTGCGTAGTGTGCGTCCCTGAGAGTGATATAGTAATGTTTGTGAATACGGGTGTCAATCCTGCACTGCAGTGAGCTACAACGCACCATGTGCGTAGGCTCTAAGCATACCAGAAGATACAGTGCTTTGTTAATTATTAGAACTTTTATCTTCCTCACGTCCACCTTGGTAATAAATCAAACACACACCAACACAATGGAAACAGTGAATAGCCGAACAATAGAGCTTCCTCTTCCCTGTCGGTTAAAGTTCGTAGGCTCTATCTTTCAAATGGGCATTTTTTGCATGCACCAAAGTCTATTTTACATAATGTGCATAAAGTACACATTTTTGTCTAAGTTTGTTAAACAAACAAAAGTGGCATTGCTTCTCTCGATAGTTATCATATTCATGTAGAGTCAAATGTATTAAAGTTTTCGCACATTTTTATTTTTAGGACATGCCTATATGTATTTTAAGCATAGTTGTAGAATGATAATTAAATCACAGAATACTGAAAATCATGTCTCTCAAACAGGCAATGGATTTGTGTCTGTGTCACTTTGACTTGGGCCCATTTAGAAAGGATATGATATACCTAATATCCTTTCGAATATTTAAATCCTTATTTTCTACAAAGTCCCTGCATCTCTAAAACTTTACACACATTCTGAATCCATGAACATGATGATACAAATCCAAATTGTAACTATCTGTACCTATTATCACGCAAGATATCATGTATGTAATAATATGTGTGACACAGGTTTCAGTAAATAAAATTGCCTTATAACCGAGAATCAAACGTTACTATCCTTGCACACCAGATAATTCATTGTATTAACTGATTCACCTGCAGCCTGACATTAGTGTGCTACTAAGAAAATTGTGGAAACTGGATCATTTCAACATAGCGTGCGAATGTCCTTATCACTTGTGAAGCATTAGATCTAAGCGCATCTTGTTAGGATTCCACGTAAACGCCCTTAGAACTAATTGTTGTGTTGTTGTAACTACCTTACAACGTATGGTTAGGCTGCAAAGTTACTAGAAATAGTTAATTTATGTACGCATCATTTTTATTTTAAATTACAAAGCCTACGTTTTATGTAGTGTTCATTTTTGACAACAGACTGCTATTATAATAGATTTTGCTTGCAAGCAAGATTTTTGACTAGGACTAGCTAAAACAGGACCGTTCATTATGGAAAGCCTTGGGAGAGGCAAAAGCAAATGATGGACAAAGGCCCAGCAGTGGACTTCCTTCAGCTGAAACGAACGAACTTGCTAAATTTTTGTCCCATAAATAAAATGTACAATTTGTTCTGAGGGCCTATAGTTGATTTTGTGGCGTCGAACCTTAGACCAGGCATACGGCTACGCAACTTAGTCGTGCAGGAGGATACAAGGAAGAGGGGCAGCCACAGTAGGTAACACAGAGTCGTTCAGGTGAGTGCCAGGAAGAGGTGCAGCAACCGCAGTTAAGGAACGGCTGTGACGAACAAGGATAGGCGCATCAAGCTCGTAAGCCTTGATAGGGTTACACTGGTTGAGGCGCTCTTTTTCAAGACTTGGAAGCCTGCGGGTAACGAGCCATTGGACGTGGAGAGGGTCATTAAATATACACATATTTTCTACTTTGCCGAACATTTGCACGAGAAAGGTTTGTTTAAAGCATATGAATTTGGTCTTTTTTAATGCAGGATTAAATGCCCTTCAACCGTCAGGAAGACCACTTTTCGATAGGGTAAGTCCTTTACGTGGTATAACCGGAAAACCGAATAAGCTCCCCTTTCGGAGGCCCCCACCACTTAAGCACAACTCCGTCGAAGTCGAAAACCTAGGAAAGTCTATGGGCAACTAATGAAGCCATTAAAGCACTAAAATCTTTAGTAGGAATTATTTCCGATTTAATTCATTTTTGTGTTTAATTCTACTGGCCTACTAGCGCTCACTAGTGAGCGCGTTTAATGTTAACTCACACTCAGCCCACAGATCAGGGATTAATGTTTACGAGTTACTAGGTTCATTACAATGTCTACCCACTGGAATCGAACTAGCGATCAGTGGAATCTGCAATGGGTAGCTGAAACTCGACCTAGCGAAAATGTTGTTACTTTTTTAACTGTACTATGTCTAAAAAGCAAGATTATGATTTAATTATCATTGTTTACTATGAGTTAATTAAGCTATAATTATATTAATTAACTTACAAGTAAGTAAGTAAAAAATATAACGGTCATTCTATTTTGAGCGATTACTATTTTGGCATCGTAAATTCTGTGTGCTCAACTACCGGCATTGTATTGTGAGAAAAGTTTTTTGTTGAAGCCTACGTAATTAGTAGAGTAATTGATTACTATGCGTTTAATTAGGTAAGTTACTATAGTTAATGAAGATGTATTGTTATTAGGTACATTTTAATTTACTTAAATGTTATTTTTATGAACTAGGTACATAAGGAAAGTGTTACGATATTATAGTGCAAGGCTATAAGGCATAGAATACTGTAAAGTCAAGGGAAAAGACCTTTTTGGAGAGGAGATGGAAAATCCTTTGGTCTTCCATCCTTCTGTGGTATCTCTATACTAAAGACTACTATCTGAAGGAGTACCTCTAAACTGAGATTGTTCATCATTCGATTCATTTTCAGCCGAATGACGTCCACTGCTGGACAAAGACCGACTCAAATTAATTTAAGGACACGAAATTCTTAATTAAAATCCCAGTCATTGCATCAGCCTATATTAGTTTTAAAACCATGATGCGTAGAGACTCAGTATGCTCATCTATTAGTGAACTTTGTAAATTTTCAAGTAAAAGAGATGTTAAAAAGCACATACATAGCTTGCTTTGTTTCACACAGTACAACTTAGTCAATATTCTTAATATGTACTTATAAGCAAAGCCGGATACGCACAAGCCTTATGCATGGGTAATTCCAGTAGCCAGCCTCAAAATCTCGCAGTCCTCCATAGAGATGGACAAAAAAGACCTCAATCGCCATAATTATTTTAAGCGGAGGACGCAAGCTCCCTCGGTCAGTTCACCGTACGCGCCCGCGCGGTCACCAGCGCGCCATAACGTTCCATTTTTAAATTCAAATTCAAAATTAACTTTTTTCATCATACATTTTCGGCCAGTTGTATTACATAGACTATAATGTAAAGCCAAAGGAGTTTTTGTATTCGCGAAACAGGTTCCTTGGTGCGCGGTCAGTGCCACAAACTTTTATGCAAAGGATGCACTTTACAGCGAGTTATTAAGAGAAATTATTTGAGATGGATCGGTTACTGGTGCTGGTAAGATATTTTTATTTTATTTTTTTAGCCTTAAGCCTCTACGTATTGTACATAAGTAATACAGAAAGATACTCCATGGAAGTTGAGGTACAAAGTAGTTTAGACAACAGTCAGTGAAATACATAAGCGATAGTAATTAGGTATATTTACCCAGGCTTTTTAAAAATATTTTTGAAATGCCTATGTAACAACTGTTATTAACGCGAAATCGACTGTTGTGTTTATTATGGAACTCTATTTATTATAGTAACCATAGAGACTCTACATTGTTTATTTGGTAGGTATAGTTAATAAAGTATGTCTTCATTTTCAACTGTAATAAGTATTCTTCTACCATCTCAAAGCTTAAAATAATGTCCCCAAGCAGTGTTAGAGTAAAATGGTTACGAGTAAGATCACTTTTAAAGCCTGATTGCAAAAAATATTATGTACTTACATAGATAAGTTATTTATTATTTATTAAATTTTTAATGCCAAATAAATTGGAACATAACGCGAACTTAATGCCATAAGGCATGCTCGACCAGTTCACCTTCGGGTTAAGCAAAAAAAAAATCGTTTGGCGGTATTACAATATTGTGTTTGTTTTAAAGGTTGCCTAATATTTTTTTATTAAAAACTTTATTGCACACAATATCAAAGTACAAAAGACGAACAAAAGTCATACGGCCTTCTCTTCCAGTCAACCTTTGGGTCAATTTGCTAGTATCACATTAAATGGGTGCTATTAAGATGTGTTTACGACATGAAAACCACCATGAGGTGTAATTTCAAGTCATTCCCATAACCTTTGATCTATTGTCCGCTCGCAATTATAAAGTGATTATGACTACTACCGTACGTTTGCAAGGTTGCCAGCTAAATACAAAGATACCCTTAAATTGGGGAAATAAAAATAATAACAGTTTTAAAAGCTCATATTGTAGCGATAGACAATAAGAACTGTGCCGTTTTAATTTTGTATTTAGTTTATTTGTTAGTTTTGTGTGTTATGCAATAAATAATTTATATATATCTATCAAAAAATAGAATAGTAAATGTTCAATTGATAAAAGTACTGACAATTTAATTTTAAAAAGGCTCTACATAAATCGATAAGTTCTTTTTCATATTCTTCATTAAATTATCTTTTATATATTCAGAACCATTCCATAACCTATTAATCTAGCTAGATGAATGGGTGATATTCTCATCCGTGCAGTTTTCTCTGAATGAATGAATTTATCGTAAGTTTCTGAATAACTCGCCTTATTTATTTACCATAAAAATTCAGACGTAACACATCGACCGTAGATAAAATGTAACCATGTCCGGTTTTTCCGGACGGCTGGCAACCCTAGATCCGGACACTAAACTTAAACAATACGAGCGCAGCGTAAACATTTACGCTAGTTGCGTAACGTTAAGTACGCTGGACTTAATTATAATATAACAAAACATGGCAAAGGGACAGGGAAATACCAATCAATTTGAAACAAACGCTGGATAATAAGTTGGTAAATTGAACCCCAGTGGTCTTCTAGAGCTGGTAGTTTACCTAACTGTCTCAGAGAAACCCGGGTTCGATTCCCTCTCTGTGTTGGGTAAAATGCTCTGCTCGATTTGGTTTATGGAAAGGCTTTGTTTTGAATCTGCGTAGTGTAGAGCTCAAAAGCTATTTAGTCATCTATTTTAAAGAGCCTTTTATATGGTGTACCTTTTAGTTTTTTGTCGTTAAGTGTCAAACATATCTAATTTATATTTCGTTCCTACTGCTACAACTTTGTGTAGCCAGGATCTCTACTTGAACCGCCAGCGCCATTAAAAATGTATTTAGAAAATTAAGCTCATAGGACCATATCGTACCTACCTAATTATTCTAAAGATATCTTATAGGAGCAGTCGTTTATGGATCGAAAATCAGTTAAATGATGATAATAAATTAAGTTGTAGTTTCCATCAAGTCTCCAAATCCTCGACCTCCATCCACCAATTATTCATCTTATTTCCTAAACAGCCTCCAACAATACGCTTCCCTATTTTTTGTGTGCGTTTGAATAACGAATTGAATCATATGAGATAATAGCTAATCTAATAATGTCCTCCAAAAACAATGGGTGACGTCACGCAGTGAAACCACACGGCAAAATGAGGGTAAACGAAGGTCGTGCACTCATTACGATTGTTCTGATGAAGGCAGAGGAAGGGAATAATTTAGGATTTACGCAATTTCCCGCTTCACGACCGCCCTATATTTAGTTTTGGTTTAAGCTCAGAACTTTAGAAGGTAATTAAAAGCTTCATTTAGGCTGAGTGCACCACCAACTTTGACCGTTACAACGATAACCGTTGTTTTTTGTATGGATTTTGACAGATTTTTGACGTTTGTCAAAATTTATGTTAGATGGTGCAACCCAGCCTTATAATTAGCTGTGCCCGCGACGCAAAAAGTTTTTATATTTTTCATTGATACTCTGCTGTAACTTTGGTAAATGTATTCCTCGATACAAAAATATTTTTTTAAATCGTACCTGTAGAGGCCTCAGCTGAACTGGACTAGTCTATACTAATACCATTATTTAGTATTATAGAAATAGAAAATGTACAGAATTTAGCCTTTAGAAGTAGGTATGTCCTTTCTTGCCAAGGCTATATTTTGTTTGGGTCATAATATAAAGTGGAAAAGCATGGTAGAGACGATGTGTGATAACGAAAGGCTTTTAACGTCCTCATGTTAGTGCCTCCATAGCTATAATTATTTTAGTTTAATGTTTCAGCAGCTAAGCCTTACTGGAAAATTAAATTGATACTTCTAACTGCTTTTTACTTGTTTATAGTGCATGTTATAAAGGTTTATAGTTAACAGTTCTTTTAAATGTATTTAACGGTACCTGCGAATTCTCGTATAAATGTTGATGGTACATCGTCTCGTAAAAAGTTAATGGTGTTTCCAGTTTTGTCCTTTTAATAATAATACGTTATTACTTAAGGACTCCAAACCAACACCCATGCCACCCTCATCTCAACATAGAGTCCTTATTGCATGTCCTCAAAAGCAAAAAAGAACGTCTTTCAGACTGTTTTTCTCAGAAAACCCGTAGTAAGCTCAATTTGAATTAACTTTTATGTAGAGCCTTAATGATTCCTTTGGGTTTCCACTTCTCTCCCTTTGCGTTGCCCTCATAAATGTAGAGTCCTCAATGAGGATAGGATAAAATATAATTAACAAAAACCGGTCACGGACAAACAGATCTCCAGCTGATCAAGCTGCGGAAGCTGTAAAACTGAACAAACAATCACTGAACAATCGCTCGCTGAACTTCTTTTTATGACGCCGCGTGACAGTGACCGCCGAGATTGTATCTGCGCACACGTCATAATGACACTCAGCGAGTCATTATGCAAGTGTGACTCATTGATCCAAGATAGCGAATATTTTCCAGACAAAATGCTAATAATTTTCAGTAGGCTGAGATGTCGCTTCGATTTGGATAGCTTTGAATTTTTAAGGGCCATAAAAGGCAAGCTAATTTAGTATTGATTTTCAGAGTAAATATCGTTAAAACAAATGAATATCGATCAGTTACAATAATCAGTAGGTACGGCAAAGACCTAGTTTACGTAAATGCAGCCCGAGACCCAATCCCCATCCTAGTAACAAACAATTCTGTATGCCAGCATCATAATCACGAAAAAAACTAAGAATTAACATTGTCAGTTTAATTTAAATTTAATACTAATTTACATCCTTACCGTAACCCACCTTATCTCTAGTGATCTGTCTGCCACCCTATTCACACCCAAATAAATCTGTAAAAGCTCCTTCTTCTGACTTTAATCATATCAGAAATCCTGATTCAGGAATATACGAAAACTGAATTAGTAAGAACTTAGTAAGAATCTTTAAAAGTAAATTGATCCCATCTCTCTTCCAGGCACTCTCAGCCGTCATCCTAGCCTGCCTCCAGCCCACCGAAGCAGACACCGTGCTGTCCTCAGTGCTGACCCCCACTGAAGTGCTGACCCCCACAGATGGCACGAAACTGAACCGGCAGAGTCGGAGCTACTACGACCGGTACGGTACCGGCCGGCCGTACGCGAGGCTAGAGTACGGAAGGTTGGACTACGACCGACCGGCGAGGTGTGGAAGATGCCAGGATGATAGGGACGAACGGGACGACGATTATGACCGGTAATTATTATATATCTACAACGAAGTTATAGAGGGTCGAAAATGACTTGTAGGCCTAAGATGCGCGCCGTGATAACTTTTATCGACGTCAAAACGTATAGGTAAAATCGATAAAATGGCGTGATAACCGCTTATCGCGGCGCGCATCTTAGGCCTACTTACTGAACTATTTCGAGAAAAGCCAAGTTGAGTAAAAAGGCGTTTTTTTGACAGATAAACAGTGTCTGCTTCTGGTAGGTGTTTCGAAGTTGTTCAGTTGATTTTAATGACTGAGCTGGGATTATAAACTTTTATGGAAATATAATATAGAGGCTCTTAAGAGTTTGCAATTAAATTAATTTAACTTCGATTTTATACATAACAATATCCTCTTGGATACTGGTCGGGGTTTATGTTCTCTAACTGATCATACTGAAGCGGCGATCGAAGTGCATCAGATTTGTATCACTGCAATCAAGGGAGGTGTCATATTCGTTACTAAGAACCTCTAGCCAATTAGGTTTCAACGTTAGTTGAAGTTATGTTCCAAGGAAATAAAGTAAAAACAATTTATATTGCTTTTCAACAGACGTCGCGGCTACGACGACGATCGGCGTTCTCACAGACCCACCTATGGGAACCGGTACGATCGAAACAAGGGCGGAGATGATGATGACGATGACCGCCGCTACAACACCGACAGAAACAGCAACAGCAACAAGAACGGCACTGATAATGAGGGGGACAAGGACAAAAACTATGATGACAAAGACAGCCGTCCAAGCGGCAGCAAGCGAGACAGGGACAGGAATCGCGACCGGCATAGAGATCGGGACGATGACAGAGACAGATATAGGCCTGACTACTATGACAGATTCTTAGGGGATAGACGAGATAGAGATAGGTACGACAGACCGTACTACGATGATCCGTACAGGGAAAGAAGGCCTTTATACGATAGGTACCCGGATAGATACGATGGATACGGATACACAGGGTACAGAAGACCTGTCTACGATGACAGATATGATAGAGTAGGAGCGTACGACGATTCATTTGGTGGATATGGACCTGGTGTTGGAAGAGGGCCACATGATAGGTAAGTTAACATTTTAGCCATGTTTTAATTAAATATGTCAGTTCTCTACATTTTATTCCACTTCGTTATGTTCGTAAGTGATTTAGAACTGTGATTTTATCATCGGACTCAATCATCTGTAAAATTCAATTGAATTATTGACCAATATGATTTTCATGGGAAAATTCTGCCCAATGTTAGCCACACCTCAGACAAGCAAATGATATATCATCAACAAAGATGAGGTATTTTGACTCTCCCCAACTATTATATCGAGCACAAACATATTTTGCCACGCTATTGTTATCACATTCAATTGCCCATAGCCCATAGGTCATTCAATGGTGGTAACAGTAGTTTTATGGGTATCATTTGCGAAGTTCAACACACGGCAAATCGACAATGGATACCGTTACTGGAACATTGGCAGATTACGCTTTCTCCCAAATTGGTTGCTCATATGTGCAATGATGCTTCTAGGCTGTCACGCTCTTCTGAACAGCTTTATTGTAGAACTACAGGTTCCATAGAGTTCGATTGCAATCTCTGAGGGAGGTAGCGATGTAATGTGAAAAATAGATAGGAGTCCTTGGATGGAAGGTCCAAAATAGTAGATTGGGTGTTTTACCAATGAAAGAGCACAGGCAGACATTGCTTAATATGTTTAATGTTGAACAGAGTCTACTTACTCTCATTCTCAACTCTCAACTCAACCGCCTCTGTGGTCTAGTGGTTAGACCACCTGCTTCAGACGCAGAGGTCCCGGGTTCGATTCCCAGTGGGGGCAGATTTTTCTGTTCGGTTTGGTTGGTGGTAGGGCTTGTTCTAAGTCCGCCTGGCTAGCTACCACCATCTTACCTAAGTCTGTCGCCAAAACAACAATGTTAACAGCATTATTGTGTTCCGACAGTTAGAGGTAAGATAGCCAGTTCCTCCGTGGTTGAGGATTCCGGGTGAAGCTCGCTTCCACCTTCGGCCTGATCGTCACTTACCATCAGGTGAGATACAGGTCAAGAGCTTCCTCGTTGTGGATAAAAAAAAAAAAAATTCATGAAGCATCTAGGTTTAACCCTACACCCCACCCTAGGGGATCTAGCCAAAACCGAAAACCAACAAGCGAGACCAAAATGTTTGGGGACCTCAGTTGTAGAGTATGTAGTCAATTGTAGTTTTCCTTTATTCACTCCATTTTTTTAATAATCTTTTCTCTTAGCGGCTCCTAACAACATGATGCCTAAGTGTTAGCTAGTAAAAAATTCACAGCGTAACTCCTCATACACAAAATATGCAATTAGTAGCTCGTTCTCAAGACAAGTAATAAAATAAAACGTAAATTACCCTACACAAATTCCAGGCAATTATCTAATTTGCAGAACAATCTTGACACGCTTGCGTCTTGTTACTGCCTGCCATTAAATACCGCTAAGTAAAACCTTTTTGAATGTAAGTACAGCAGACAACACACCAAGAAGGTAGGCAAAACTTCGTCAACCTAATTCAGTCGTCATAGGAACGATTTTGCAACAAAAAAAGTGTGTTTATGTGCTCTCGTTTGTACTTTTTGATTCGCACGTTATTTGTTTTTTTTTGCCGCCATGTTTCGTGTTGAGTGCCCACGGGTTGAGGACCCCCGGCGAAATGAGGTGGTTGACCCCCAGTTTCCTGGACTGTCGAATTTGAAACAGAAAAGGTCGAAGAACTTAATGAACTCGTTACGGTAACCTACATCTTTGTTTTTAGATGATGTAATTTGATCTTGCGAACTTTTTGTGTTATGGCTTCCGTTATTAGTTTGATGGGAGAGATTAGTTTTTTAGGGTTTGACTTTAAAATTGAATTTGAATGTCAATCTTTTTGATTGTTCAATTATTTTTTGTTGTCTTTTTCACTCTACATTACATAATGGTAGCTACGGACTGTCTATTGTCTCTTCTTGAATCAGTTGCAAAGTTGTGATTTCCTCTATATCAGCAGAAGTACGACTCTCCCTTTATTTATCCCACAATTTATCAAAGTCAATTGCCGGTTTAGGATTACACTACACCCCCCACGCTGGCCAGACTGGTCGGAAAGAGCTGGTATTCATATAGGTTATACTAATCTACTGGAACACACGGTCACGTAGAAAATAGACAGAAAGATCCAAATTTTCATCAGGAACTCCTTGGACCAACTATGCAACCGGGCCTATAAACTCTATCTACACCGCACCCTTTAAAGATCCTCTAGCCATTTGACCTTTAAATAGGTAATAAGTTTTGAGCTTATGACCCGGTTTTCACCAAAGCGAGGAGAAGAGGAGAATATTTGAATAACCAATGAAATTTGATTGGTTTCATCCATAGAGATGTAGAGAGATGCCATCTAATGCGCTGAGTTTGAAAGTCTGTGGTCGCATTCAAAATTCACACACACAAAGTATGTGTTAATTATCCACTGCGGTATCAGTTCTCAACGTTCGAACAATCTTTAGTACTACGCAAGCAATATAAACTGTTTACATTATGACGTCGCTGCTGTCATCATTGCTGCTGTTTCGAGCAATGTGTTCTATTTTTGGGCATATTGCTGCGACACCGGCCACGCCCCCTTCTCACATCTCCCTTTAGTTTCTGTGATCTGTGTAGGGCATGCAAAAACCGAGCGGTTTGGAAAAACCGGTTTTTTCGGTTTTTATTTTTAAAAACCGAACTAAACCGGTTTTTTCGGGTTTTTCGGGTCGACTGTTTGTAAGTAAATAAAATGCTGCAAATTATAATAAAAATCATTTTATTTCTTTTATATTCTAGTTTGACAAGATGAAGTTACATGTTGTGAACATAATATTGTGAGATCAATTGTGAATAGTTTAATTAAAAATCAAAATATAAAGAGATCAACAATAGGATACTTCGCTCATTAGCAAAGCAAAACCTTTGGTCAGGACTTCTTGGCGGGAATCTGAAGCGTCATGTTAGCGGTTTTGTTTTATTTCCTCAAATTCGTGTGTGGGCGACTATTAATGTATAATAATGGTGGATTATTAACCATTGAGTGTTCGTGAACGTCCATGGGTGCGGGCAAGTGAAGCAAAACAGTGCATCGTGATTCTTCTGGTTCTCTCAAGTTGTCCATAGGAGGTCTCAGTAAAGCACCACAACTTTACTGAGACTCAAAGGGTGGGAAAGGGTATCATCTATCATCCTTCATTATATCATTACTTGATCTCATTTTGTAACTCGTATCACTTATATACTGGAAAATGGCACAAATCAAGTCGACCTCGACGTGTATTGCCAACATCATCAAAAAAGAAGAAGAAAATTTGGTCATAGTTATGCTTATTTAAATAATATGTAAGTTGACACTGACAGAGACTAGCAAAGCAAAAATAATGGCGGCAATGGTCAAATACAAAGCGCGTTCCATTTTGCGCCCGCGCGCTTATAGCTTTAGCTAGAAGATACATGGTACTTTAGTTCAATACCATAGCCATAGACTATACTCTACTCATTCACATTGCATTCATCATCATTCATCATCATTTCAGCCATAGGACGTCCACTGCTGAACATAGGCCTCCCCCAATGCTTTCCATGTTGATCGATTGGCAGCGGTCTGCGTCCAGCGCTTCCCTGCTACCTTTACGATGTCGTCGGTCCACCTTGTAGGTGGACGTCCCACGCTGCGTTTTCCGGTACGCGGCCTCCATTCCAGAACCTTTCTGCCCCATCGGCCGTCAGTTCTGCGTACTATGTGCCCTGCCCATTGCCACTTCAGCTTGCTAATCCGTCGGGCTATGTCAGCGACTTTGGTTCGTTTACGGATCTCCTCATTTCTGATTCGATCTCGCAAAGAAACACCAAGCATAGCCCTCTCCATAGCACGCTGTGCAACTTTGAGCTTCTGTATAAGGCCTATAGTGAGAGGCCACGTTTCCGAGCCATAAGTTATCACTGGTAACACACATTGGTTATACACTCTAGTCTTCAGGCATTGAGGTATTAGCTCTTGGATCTGAAGTTGAGCTATCAACGGGTTTGGTGACCGAGGTATATAGCTGTCCATAAAACCTCTCGATCTCACCCAGAACCTCGGCTTTTGTTGACGTTACACTACCGTCCGCCGTCGTTAGCTTCGTCAGCTGGCTTTGCCCAATAGAGTTGTCTCTTGCGAACACTTTGGAGCCTTGGTACCGCTTCCACATTGCATTACAATAATTGTTTTTATTGATATGACTAAAGAAGCGTGTTCTTGTATGAGTTATTAAATTATCTAAAATCGTAGAAGAAAAACCGAAAAAACCGAAAAACCCGGATTTATAACTGACAAAAACCGAGTTCCAAATTGTGTCGGTTATCCGGTTTTTTCGGTTATCCGGTTAACCGGTTTGCATGCCCTAGATCTGTGGCTTCAACACATCTCCTCTTCTCTCCGCTTTCATGGAAATCGGTCTTAAGTTTGCATCTGCTAGTTTCAGGCCATGGGACGAGACGTACCGCGGGCAGGCGGGGTGGGACGCGGGGGGTCGCGGGTACTACTTCGCGTCGGGCCGCCCCGACGAGGCGCCCGCGCAGCCCTGGGGCCGCCCTGAGTATGCCAGGTAAATACGAGTAAATTCAAATTCAAATTCAAATTTTTTATTTAGTACATTAGGCCCTTTCCAGGGCACTTATACACGTCCCAAATATACATGCCCTACCACCACTTCGGGACAACATATGGGCTGGTGCTGAGAAGAAGTGGCGGAAGAAACTCAGTCACCTTTGTCAGCCTCTTTTTCATACAGTAATTTATATAAAAAATCGTTAACTTTATAGTAAGTAGGTATCCTCTTTTCATAAGGATTTTCTTAACCTATACTTTGAATTTATGAATAGGTAGTTCTATAAAAGATTGTGGTATTTTATTTTAAACATTTTAACACTATTCCCCAAGAATGACATAGGTACCTACTTTATGTAGTCTGAGATTTGGAACGGCAAGTTTATTTTTATTTCTTGTGAATCACCTAGTAGTAGTAAGTAGTAGGTCCTGGGCATTTTGTTTATGGGACATATAATAAAACGAAGGTTTAAACGTTTTTTCATAATAAGGGCCTTATAAGATAAAAATAAGGCCGCAACTAATAAGTATTGCGAGGAACATCACTCATCGTGATTCACAATGATGACCACGACTACTCTGACAAGAGTGTACCGACTCAGAAGAAGAAGATAAAAATAAGGACAGTCTTTACATTAAAATTAGGAGCATGCAAAAATGGCCAAACTGCATGAGCAGACTCCTTAGCGGCCTCAGCCATTGATCATCTTTGAGACAACCGAAATGGTACGAAATATAATGTCAGCAACCGTTTTAAAAAATGCGACTGAAATTCGAATTTTATTGTTTCTTATTTTCTTTTTATTATTTTCTTTTTATTATTTTATTTGTTTTGGCCATTAATAAAATCCCTCTAAATTATAATAACCATTACTTTTTGTTCAAAATAGTGATGTGATGTTATGGTATGATATCGATAATACTTATGGTGGAACTAAATAAATAACTGTTATGTCAATTTAGTAAATGTGGTGGGACTGGGAAACTCTAGCAGTGTAGAGTCCAATCCATTGAGTATACCTAGTGTTCATGACTCAAACCTAATGCAATTATCCGGAAGCACTAAGTTTTATTAGGACATAAGAATTTAATAAAATTGTTCCTGCAAGGATATTCATATCACTAAAATAATACAATTTTTCAGCAATAACTTATACCGTGCTACATTTTGACTGAATTTTCATTTTCAAATGACATTGGGAACTTTTTGCCCCACTTTTCGAAAAGTAGCGGACACAAACGAAACCTATCACAGATGATACATACTAATATCCAATGAATTTCCGTGCATTTTTTTTTCTCTCTTATATGGGAATATTGAGAAAATGAAGTTTTAATATTTTATTTTATTTTACATTTAGGTAACATTTTTGACGACCTCCGTGGCGGAGAGGCGCACACACCGGTTTTCAAGGTGTGCCGGGCCAATCTTGAGGTCCCGGGTTCGATTCCCGGCCGGGACAATATAGAAAACGATCTTTTCACATTGTCTCTGGTTTGGGTGTGTTGTGGTTCGTCGTTCCCGATTTCCATAACACAAATGCCTTAGCTACTTATTTTGGGTTGGAGGAGTAATATATGAGATGTTGTCTAATATTAATTTAAGTATTTATAATATTTTATTTATTTATATTACTTTATTTATATTTTTAGGGTTCCGTAGCCAAAATGGCAAAAACGGAACCCTTATAGTTTCGTCATGTCCGTCTGTCCGTCTGTCCGTCTGTCCGTCTGTCCGTCTGTCACAGCCGATTTACTCGGAAACTATAAGTACTACAGTGATGAAATTTGATGGGAATATGTGTTGTATGAACCGCTACAAAATTATGACACTAAATAGTAAAAAAAAGAATTGGGGGTGGGGCCCCCCATACATGTAACTGAGGGATGAAAATTTTTTTTCGATGTACATACCCGTGTGGGGTATCAATGGAAAGGTCTTTTAAAATGATATAAAGTTTTCTAAAAAACATTTTTCTTAAAGTGAACGGTTTTTGAGATATCAGCTCTCAAAGTCGTAAAAAGTATGTCCCCCCCCCTCTATTTTTATAACTACGGGGTATAAAATTCTAAAAAAAATAGAGGTGATGCATGCTAATTAACTCTTTCAACGATTTTTGGTTTGATCAAAGTATCTCTTATAGTTTTTGAGATAGGTTGATTAAATTGACATAATAAGTTTATTATATTTGCTGCTACGGAACCCTTTGTGCGCGAGCCCGACTCGCACTTGTTTTTATTTATTTATATTATTTTATTTACTTTTATTGGTTACTCTGCAATGCCAAACAACATAACATGTAAAAATATCAAATCATTTTAGACAAATATATTTTCAACTTAGACTCGTCATATCTCAGAATTCCCATATCTCACAACATAGCGCTTTAAGTGAATATACCTACAAGTATAAAGCTTTGAAATAAAATACGTTTCATCTTTGTCCGCCGTGGGGCATTTTCTCATATTAAAGTTCCCAATGTCCTTTCAGACCACAGTACGGCGAGAGCGGTTGGCAAAACGTGGGCTATTCCGGCGGTGGTTGTCGCGATCCTGTGCAGTACCAGGGCAGCCTGGGCTACGGTGAAGGGGGCTACCGGCAAGACCTGAGCGCCAGTTACGGACAGGGCGGCGGTTACGGACAGGGCGGCGGTTACGGACAGGGCGGCGGTTACGGACAGGGCTTCAGTTACGGACAGTCCAGTGGCTGGAGGAACGTGGGGGAGAGAAGACCGTATAGAGATGAGAGGTATACAGGGTGTTGATTTCAATCCTCGCCATATTTAGGGAGTTAATTAAGTAGCTTATTCTGATCACGATCAGTAAAAGAATTGACTTCGAAAAAAAAATTGAAACGAACTTTAACTTTAGTTAATCAAAGAAAAAATTATATTTACACTACCTACTTTAAGTGGCTTCCTTCAGTAGGCTGTCCAACATGATAAGCGAGCGATCCGCGTAGCTCGATGGTGCCGCAGTGCAAACGTATTGCAGTATTGGGAGCCACAGTACAGTTGATGTCTCACGGAAAATATTCGCTAAAAATTTCACTCTCGTTTGTAATTTTTTTTTTGGTCGAACATGCGTTTATGTAACTAATAATAGATCACCTAAATAAAATGGCGAGGATTGAAATCAGCATCCTGTAGATATTAACTAGTTACAGTGTGATATTTCGTTGGTAAGTATGTTTCCATCAATGAAAAATGTGACTAACATTATTTCAAAGTGAATGGAGAAGTAAAGGCTTACTAATTTATGGAGCAGTGTAAAATGTCCAAGGATATTATTATTGTTACAAAATTTTAATTAAAAACATGATAATGTCTTAAGCCGCTAACTTTATTCGACTATTCTGTAGACTCAATGTTCTTTCTATTTATTATGTAGTACCTACACGAGTACTATTTAAGTCTATGTTGCTACAGCCGTGGTCACAAGCAGACTGGTGGCTCGCGGCGTCGTCCGTTCTCGTATTTCTATATTTTATATAATTGAAATGGAAAAGCTTAAAATCAATGTTCTCAATTTTTGATCGAGCGACAGTTATGTTCATAAATGTATTTTTGTTGTTACAGTGGCGTCGCAAACCTTGACAAAGTGAAGCAACCCGCCCGCCAAAGCTACGTTCAACCTAACCGTCCCAGCGACTATGGACAGGCGTACGCGCAGCCCAGCAACGGCTATTCAAGCGGCAACGTCTATTCGAACGGCAACGGCTATTCGACCGGCGGCAACGGCTATTCGAACGGCAATGGCTACGCGAATGCCGCTCCCGCTTCCAGCAGCAGTACCACGCCGAACACAAGCTACCTATTTCAGAGAGAAGATGAGAGGGTGACCACAAAAACTGATGAAACTACTAAGGCAGCACAAGGGGCATAATATTTTGGTGCATTTAAGAACTGATGACTTATTTTTAAGAGTGTGCTGAAAAGGTAATGCTGCAATTTAGTTTCGTTCGTTCAGTCAAATGACCTCCACTACTAAACAAAGGCCTAAATTTAGATTAAAATATCCTCCCGATCCAGTTATTGTTCTAATTGTTCGGCGTAATAACATCTAAGCACTATAAAGCTTATCCGTAAATACTTTATTTCAACTATTGTTTTATGACTTTCATCAGAAAGAAATAAATTACTTGATGGAAGGAAAGTTGTAAAATGACGTCATTCGTGAGTTGAAATTAACGATCTTAGTCGTAGCAATATTTTTTTATGAAACTGAGGATATCGAGCTACACTCAATGTTTTTCAATAATTAAGTGTATCTTTTTCCATTCTTTCTTAACGAAGAAGAACAAAAAACTTCCTTAGAGGTTCCAAATACACTTTTTCAATAATAATTTTAAATTGTCTAACGTTAAGAGTCGAAGATCAGTTTTGCATGCATTTTTCCAAGTTATTTAAACTACTTTTTCAATTCAAATTAATGAAATAAAATAAAAAAACCTATGAAAATGAAGAAACCTAAATATAAAAATCAATCACTCTGCCAAGCTCAAATAAAATTAATTTAGATTTAAGAATACAAACACGTAAAGTGTGTAATGTAGGCTATGAACTTTAAAGAACAACAATAAATATAAATTATTTTAATTATTACTAGACGTAGTGCTTCTGAATGTAAAAGAATTTGTGGACAAATAAATTTTCTATTACTTTGACGATTTTGTAGTATTCCCTGAAAATTCATAAAATATTAATTAGCTATAATTACTTTTAATTAATTAATAATTAAAAAATAGATACAAACAGTAACAAAGGGTTACGCATACGATATCCGTATAATAATGAAAAAGTATGCAACGCCCTCTAGTAAATGTTTATGAGTGTAACTTCTTCAATAAAGACGGTCATGCTCATGACTACGAGTACGAGCCCCATTCTATGCTAGTGTGATAACTGTTTGATAGATGGTGTTAAACTGTAATGTACGTTTTGACTTGTATGAAAAAAAGATGGAATAACACTGGCATTATTGTCATGAACGAGAAAGGTTAACTTTAAATAATAATTAAATTAATATAAAAAATCTTTAAGGACATAGGAAGTCGTAAGTTGGATTAGGACGGGTACGATAGCAAATTAGTCCGGTCATCAACAAAAATTTCCTTAAACTTAAAAAAAATACTTTTTTTAAAGTTTAAGTAAGTGTTACATTAGTATGTAAAAAAAATCTACTATTATTTTTAATACATAACAAATTTATTAGTCCTAAAAACTATTTGATAAATCTGTGCGAATAGTAGGTACCTATTTGTGCTCTCACCAAGCGTTATACAATAAAAATATTATACCACATTATTTGCTTAATCAGGTATCGATAAATCATAAAACTCTACTGATTAAAAACAATAAAATTGTAGACATAATAATGTACCTAACCTTTATCCTTTGCCGCTTGAAAGAAATGCGTAAGTACATCGAATTACGACCGCAAATCAAGCAATTAGTGATATGATAAGAGGATTATAGACAATTGTATCTGATAAGCTCGTCCACTTGCCTGCGGGTCCTTGTAAGACGTCGCTGTGTTATATTAATTAAATAATTTAATTAAAAACGGTTTCATCGACCTTTAGGCCGGTCGATTCGCGCACGGGGCCTGCGAGTGACATTCAAATTTTAAAACTGTTTATTTTTTATTTTCTAGCCAGCATACTGAATTTCAAAATATTTAATTCTAAATTCAAAGTTGAAGAATACTGGCTAGAACTTAAAAAATAAACTCTTTTTTTGCTAAATAGTGTTGTGACGGTTCGATATCGATAAAAAGTAATCATGACGGAACTGGAATCAGTGAATGTGGCGGAAAATTCCAATTCTTCGGGGATCCAGGTTGTCGAGTCTGCTGGCAACACTCTTCATGCTAAGCCACCGTAAGTTTTTAAATGCCTGATACTCGTATTAGAACTAGGTAGTTACTTGTTATCAAGGCCTTGGCCTTTTATTTTCTTAAATTTTACTTATTTTGTTATCGAAGTCGTTCGAAGTAACGTAGCAACGGTTTTCGTAAACGTCGCCAATTTGATTTTTTATCGCCACCGCAGTAATCAATATGGTAATTAATCTTACCTCTGAAAACAGGCACTGAATGTTAGAATTAGGTTTGAAACTGAATACTGTATAACGAGAGTTGAAATACTTAATTGAAAAGTCTAAACCAGTATTTTATACTATAAAAAAAGTTTTTGCACATAAGGAATTTCTAACTTATTAAAGTTATTTACAATCTGTATCGTTTAATTTTTTTTTTTTTTTTACCTTCGCAAAATCTAATTTAAAGTCTAAAAAAATAATACAAATAATTAATCTACATAGGCTAAATATTTACAAATATTTACAAATAAAAAATATGTCCCAAATCGCTGTCCAAACAACGCGACATGGTGCCCAGAATGCTGGCTGCATTTCCACGCTGAATGGCCAAACTGATTCGTTGGCCAAGAAATGCGCCAGCTCTTCTATCACCTGTACAGTCAATCAGCCGCTTGGCTAATTCCCTGTACAGGCGATATAACTAATTTTATTCCACTGAAACTTGGTTACGTACTGTAGTTTATTGTTATGCTGTAGGTATAGCTACTGACAACCTTTACGATTTAAAAAATACATCTACCCGCAGACAGACAGGTCGACACAGACTGGACTGAGGTGGGACTATGTAGGGTTCCGTATCTTTACCCTCCCGGTCCGGTACATAACTCTAATAATAATCACTACAAACTTGAAATTTAGCAAGTAGGTTCCTTATAGGGTGTAGACCAGGGATGTTATGGATATCCGAAATAAAAAAATATCCGTAACCGTAAACGAAATAATTCCTATATTCGTAACCGTATCCATAACCGAAACTACATATTCATAACATCCCTAGTGTAGACATCCGCTAAGAACGGAGTTTACGAAACTAAGGGGGTAAAACGGGGTCCACGCGTACGAAGTCGCGAGCGGCCGCCAATAATACCTACAAATATTTTCAACTGACTCTAATAACTTTCTTCCCTCTTTAGTTAGTAACTAGCTGAACTATATTAAAGCAAGTACGTGGCCTTGATAGCATATACGAAATCATAATTACTTTGATTACATTATCATATCGCATTGATACCGCACCAATATCATGTATTCAAGTGTATTATTTACTTGGAAATGTAATAAACCTTTAATTTAGCCTAATAAATAGCTCGATAGTGACTAAATCGTTAAATTGGCGAAAAATACACGAGTTAATATGGCTTCTAATGTACAGTAATGCAGTATCGTGATTCGTGACGTGACTGACTGACATACTGGCTGACAAACAGAATAATATGTTGGGTAGACATATATTTATTGTTCTTCCGACACACCAATTAAACACGAATCAGTTGACGAACAAACATGTATTGATTATTTACTAAATAAGTCAAAAACATCACCATCATCAGGTCTTTCAGCCTTCACTGCACGAGCATGATTCTGTATTATACCCAAGTAAAATGGAAAATTTGTCTTTCACTCCCTACTCTATCACGCTGGCCAGACGGTTTGGAGAACCTTACCATATTACTTATTCTTCGATTATGTGCTCTTTCCTCAAGAAGATATTGCAGTGGCTGGATGAAAAAGCGAGATATCGTCTCTATGTTGTGATTCTATGGGTTTAGCTTATAAACTAAGAGCTAGTGAACGCCAGACCTACGTTATTTTAAAAAAGCTGAAAATTTGTCAGCGCAAGTTGTTTCCCCATCAGCCAGAGTTTTGACCATTCCAACTCCTTGTCAAACAATCATTTTGGGTAGCTGCCAAAGCCACGATGGCCCAAACTTCATGATGCACCAACGTTCTTCTTACCCATATTGGGAGCATGTGCTGACAAACTTTCAGCTTTTATTAAATAACGTGGGTGTTCAGCCGCGAACGGCCATAAACTGAAATGTAAACAAAGGTGACTGAGTTTCTTCCGCCACTTCTTCTCAGCACCAGCCCATATTATATTGTCCCAAAGTGGTGGTAAGGCAAGCTATTTAGGACGTGTATAAGCGCCCTGGAAAATGTCTAAGACTTAGGCCCTAAGTATTGAATAAAAACTTTGACTTTCACTTTTCCTGAAAAGGCCGCCTTTCAAAATATCTAGATAACAAACTCTAGGTCTAATTCACATTCTTAACTCTCCATATCATTATTTAGTTCTAATTACACTTAATTGATGATCAATTGAGATGCTCATAACACATATTGGTGCAATTGACTCGCGTGCTGGTTTGAGAGTACAAACGACACCTTCAAGTTTAACACTGTGGCATCTTATTTCGTTGTAATACGAGCGTTTTTCCAACAAAAATGTGAAGAGTGATGTGCTTGCGACTCTACATTGGCTATTTACTGCTTCTTTATTAGTATAATTAGTTGTATAGCGCAGCGGGATAGAAAATTAATGATAAACGTAGGGAGTATTCGCTTCCACAACTTCGTTATGTTACGGGTCCAATGACAGTTTAACTTTCCCCCGGGACAAACTTGACCTTCACTGGTTGGGTTTTTATTGGCGGTCAAGCTGTAGATTCTGGCTACACAGGAGTTGCAGTGGTGGGAACGAGAGATGGAAATAGTCCCGTTCTACAGCTTCTGATTATCTGTTACTATTTTATATGGCTTGTATACCTACTAACATGACTCAAACATTTGTTGTTAAACTCTCACTTCTTCATAAATGTAGATTATAAGAATTTTGTTAGAAAAAACTGAAAAAGAAACGAAGTCACATGACGTTGCAAAGTTCATTAGCATTGACAGTAAAGACATGTGCGTTCGTTCATGTTAAAAGACCTCTCTGTTCCCAAATTAGGAAGAGCATATTTTACTAGAGACGCTTGTGGTGGCTGATAAAGATGATAAACACTTTGGCTTTTATTGACAATCAGTAGAATCGTTTCTTCTATCATTATGGACTTGCTGTAATCACTTAGGTATTTTGAACTCTACTAAGAACATAATCATATCGGACAATCAGTAAGTTATTTCAGTTATGTGCTGATATGTTGTCCTGAAGTGGTGGTATGAGAAGCTATTATTTGGGTCGTGTAGAAGTGCCCTGAAAAGGCTGTTTTATGTAGACATACTTTTCCAATCGTCATATTACGGTTACAAAAACCATTATGACTCTACTTTTATTCAAGTTCCTGTCCATACGAAAAAAGGCTAGTATTTTTTTAGCCGACTTCAAAAAAGGAGGAGTGCTTTTCGTTACTTCGTTTCGTCCAAAAGACGTCCACTGGACAAAAGCCTCTCCAAGGATTTTTATAACGATAGGTCCTGCGCTGCCTGCATCCGTGCTTTCCGCGAACTACACTACGTCCTAGTTTAAAATTTGAAAAATATTAAACCGGGGCTATCCTATCAAAAATTGCCTATTGCTCGTAGAAATCACGAGACTAAAGAGAATAATCGCGACCGATAAATTTTCGCAGGCAATCTCGGAGCAATAACCAAATCGATTGGTTCCAGTGTGCGGTGCACTAAGTTCTGTTCACAGACAAATTTTATTTAATGGATATTATATTGGATTAGCAACGGCCAACGAATTCAT